GTGAGGGTGACGGAACACTGGAACAGGCTGCCCAGGGAGGTTGTGAAGTCTCCTTCCCTGGAGACATTCAAAGCCCGCCTGGACACATTCCTGTGTAACATTATCTAGGTGTTCCTGCTCTGGCAGGGGGATTGGACTAGATGATCTTTTGAGGTCCCTTCCAATCTCTAGCATACTGTGATACTGTGTGAATTTGCTTGTTCAAGCTGGAGTTGCACCAATTCACTGCCCCTGTATTCCATTGCAAAAGCTTAAGAATATGGAGCAGACAACCTACCCTGGCCATCACTGCTTTCCTTTCCTCATTCAGCTGCATGCCCACTTATTCCCACTTGGTTTACTTCTTCTTTACCCACATTATACCTTGTAGCAAGGGAAATGCAAGCTTGTCAGGCTTGGTTCTGCTCTGGTGCTTGAACTGCTGCTTCTTACTGTGTGGACTAGTACCACCTGTGTCAGGTAGATGGGTACAAATGTCTATAGGGGAAAGATAAATCAGATTTACACATAGCTTGTCATTGGCCAGAAAACAGGACCCAATAGGTGATTTTCGTTTACTTTCCTTAACAGTTAATTTTCATTTGACTTCACAGCCATGAGACTGTGTACCTGAAACTCTTCGGTTAGAAGAGTTAAAAGTTGATGCCACTTTCCATTGTAAAGAAGAGTACAGAACACAGCGTAGGCCTCCGACATGCCACAGATGCCGACAGCTGTGTAATGTCTCTGAGGCAATCACAGAAATTTCTTCTGCTGAAAAGTATTTAAATGCTATTTATTTTGAAATGTAATTTAGTAGCTGTTAGATAGGAAAGATCTTAGTCTTTGCAATTTATTTACTTTCTCTAAGCTCCCTATCTCCTAATAAAATTACCCACAATAGCAAGTAAAGAACTCTCATTTTGTAAGTTCAGACTCTCACATAATACTTTCATTCATGTTTTGATTTCAATGGCATTAACAAGTTTTATGCCGCAAGAGGACCTACCCTTCACACTGTAATGCTGATGAAGGCTGATCATATTTTTCTACTGCAATTTCATTAACAATAAAAAAAAAAAGGTGATAATAATATTGACTTGCACACCTTAGAGGAATTTTGAGGGGATTGGTAGTGTTTGTAATGTGCTCTGGAATCGATGCTCTAAGGGCTATTAGATAACTGCCTTCCTGACATGGTTTCAGACACTAGCAACGCAGCTGTATTAAGTTGTTGAATGAGCAACCCCACATAAAACACCTAAATAACAGAATTCACCAAAAATAACTTCAAAAGCCCACTGAAAAGTGGAGATCCATTTTATGCGTCTAAATACATCACTCATCTTTCTGGACTTCCAACTGGAATATACTGGTAGAGGGTTGAGAGGTATCAGCCTCACTGCTCTGAGTACTGTTGTTATGCATAGTAACAGCAGTGCTGAAACTCTGGCAGGTACTTCCCTTCAGAAAAGGATGGCCTTAATTCAGCTCTTTCTTCCATCTGTAGTAATACAAGTAGAATTATGAAAATGAAGAAAGGTAGTATACTTTGCATTATTGTGACTGAGAGAGGGCCTAGATTCTTAAATGAACTTTGCAGATATTAGATAATTTAAGTATCCAGGTTAACAGCTAACAAGGAACTGCCCTGTCGTGACAGGGGGAATGTCAGGGAAGTGGAAATTAGTGATATCCAAACACTACACCACATGACTGAGTCTGCAGTTACCAGGAAAGAGCTGGTAGATAGCAGCAACAAATAGATTTATGCCATTGTCTAGTAGCCTCAAAATTCCTCTGTCCCTGTAGTCATGATACTTCATAATTTCAAAATTTGCATGTAGCTCATATCAGAGGAAAAAAGGTTAAGTACTATTACAGGTATTCCACTTTTTCTGCTTTTAAATATTTTATAATTCTAAGATGTAGTTAATATTGTAGATGTAATATTACTCTGAATTTAAAAATGCAGTAGGAAATAAATTAATAATATAAATTTTTAGGGTTTTTTTAACTTTTTTTTTCAGCTACTCTGAGTAGAAGCATCAGGTAAATATACAATTTTATTAAACAGTTCATTATTGAGAAACACACTATTTGAGAAACTTTCTGCACAACTTTTGTCTAAACACCAGCTAGATCTACTTTAGAAATTTATTAACCTTGGCTGCTCTACTTTCTACTTGGGCTAGACAGCTCAGGAGCAGAGATGTAATTGGCTGATGCCAGTTCCTTGAGTATCTTGTCTCTTCCTCATGCTAAGCTGTCTTCTGATGCTGGAGAAAGAAAAAGCCTATATATACGTATATATACATGTGCTGTGATTTTCTTTTTTTTTCACCTCTTAATTGATTTTGTTACATGTACTCCAGAGATGACTGTCAAACTCTTAAAGTGATAAATTTCTATCATGGGGAGCTGTACAGCTTGCAGTATTTCTTTACAGAAAGAAGCTGGCTAGAAGCCACTGTTTCACAGGCCTTGTGCTTTTGGAGATGTGAGCTGTTCTGTAGGGGATAGAGTACAGTGTAGGTGGTTTCTTATAATGGACATTTTGGCAAGCTCCCTGAGGTGCTTTACTTATTCAGCTAGGGATTCTTGCTTTAATATGCTCTTTTATAACCTGTGCTGCATGATGCTCACAAAGGTGCCATGCAAATATATTAGCTAGTGCAGGAAATAGCTGTAAGGTTCTGTTCAGTTTCATGTCCCAGGAGAGCATTCTATATGTCAATGCCATACCCTGCATTACCTCCCAGCCAGTTTCTGAATGTGTTTCTGGGACCTGGCTAGTATTTGTGAGAAGCTGAGACCTAGTTGCCTTGGAAGTAACGTTTTATCCCTGTCTCCATCAGTGTAGTCATGTAGGGTGTTCTCTTTGGCTTGTTCAGGAGCTGAAATCTGAAGTACCTTCAAGTAACAGCTTTTGCCAATACACCGTGTTACTTTGGATTTCCACTCAAAAAGAATCTTGTCTTTTGCCTCCAGGATTAGTCTATCAGAGGTAATGCTGCGTGTCTCTCCAGGTTTATGGCAAGACTCTGCAAGGATTTTTGTAAGATTGATGACAAGGTCAGAAAATGGTACTTCTGTCTTTTAAAGTATGTATGTAAAAGGCATATTCTAGCTGTTAACTATTCTTCTAGTTGTCTAGAAGAATACAACAAAAATATGACCAAGTAGGCAAATTCAAGATATAACTGGGTAAAAGGTATGTATGAACAACTTTAAGAGTGGAAGTTGAGTGCACTCAATATTTCTTGAACTTTACAGAAGTCACTGAGATCACTGGGTGTTGTTTTGGTTTGGCTTTTTTTTTTTCTGTAATTTCTCTTTTAAGTATATGAATAGATAAATGTAGTCATTAAAGATATAATGAAGACCTTTATCTGTGGGGTTAAATGGAACTTTTAGGTTGTAATTATTGGTATAATAAACATAGCTTTTCTGAATACTTATTTATCTCTCAAAAATCTTAAAGAACATTGTTAATTGTTTTTTGGTTGCCAGTTAATATAATTAGAATTTTGTTTTGGTTTAGGTTTTACAGATTCTATTTTTGACATCACTGTATTTAATATTTTCCTTTCAGTAGAGGGATTGCATGTGCTACTTTAACTTCTTTGTGGTGTTTGAAATGCAGGGGAAAAAACTTAGGCATTACGGTAGTAGTATTGCATAGATAACAAGTCTAAAGGTAAAACAGGTCCATACCAGTATTATCATTATATTTAATGAGAATGAGATCATGCAACTTTTTTTACCCTAAGGGAGCTAAATTTGGAGTAATTGAGAGCATAAATGATGAAAAATAAAAATACAGATATTTTTAGACATTGTGGAAAAGACTGATGACAGACATTATCCAAGCTCAGAGCTGTGACTGAAATACTAATGCACAATAAATGCTATCAGAATAGTAATATCCCTTGTGTCCCCTAATTTTGTATTGTGTTGGTTCTAACTATGCATTACAAAAGAATATGTGTGTGTGGGCCTTGTTTAGGTAGTTGCTTATATGTTTGTGTTCAAAATGCCATGCACAAATAGATGAAAATGAGGCAACTTTCTTGGTTTTGCTAACATTCCCTCCCTGTAACTAATGTACTGTAAAATCCCAGTGAACTGCTGTCACTCAGGACTGGGTCTTAATGAGAAATCTGGTGAGGCAGGATTGGTTCAGTGGATTGAAAGCACTGGTGCTGAAGATTATGTGAAGTTCAGGGTGTGCAGGTCAGACTAAAATTAGTTGGATATCCTGGACCAAACTTCTTCACAATGTCAAGGGTTTGGAGCTGTTTGGATTTAGTGTGTCCTTATTAAACTTTGAGTGCATCTAGTATAGGTCTGGAACAGACGTTCTAGTTCAATTTCTTCTGAAAGAATCTAGTTTGTTTGCACCAAATAAGCTCTGCAATTGCAGTCTGTGCATGGGTACACTTGTAAGAGTCATGAAAATGCCCTCAACCATAATGCTAATGTTAAGATAGGTTCAACTTATCATTGCTTTGCTTGCCTACATAGAATCTAAACTGACAGTAGGAAATGATAACTGCACACCAGTTTGAGCCTTTTAATTAATTCTCCATAGCTGTCAAAGAGCCAGAGGGAAACTTGTGATAATAACTGCTTGTAACAGCTAAGGTGGTTCTGATCTCTACTGATAATACAGAGGGAAATAGCTATATTAGTTTTTACTAGTATAGTGAGCCATTCAGCCCTCTGTTCAGCTGCATTAGCAATAAAATAATAATTAATAAATTAAAGTCAGTTGTTACTACAGTTTTAATTAAAGTTCTGAGCCAAATTCACAGTGCAGCTTTGGGTCCTGATAACAACAGATCTAGAGTCTAATTACTGTCATACCAGGTGGCCTGCTTTACATCTAATTGATTCCCTTGAGTCTGACAAGAGCCTGACTTGAAAAGTCAACTTTGTTTCCAGTAGAATATGATTTTATTATAAATAAGGAAAAATGTACAGAAATAAAGGCTTCTTCCCTCCAGGTACATGCTTACCTAGCTCTTGTGCCTTGATCAGGTCCTGAAGCTCCCTCCTGGAATTTTGAATGAAGATGTTAAACACATTCGTATATTGATATCTTTTAAAACTCACCTATTCCTAAGTTGTACATGAGGTTTATGGAAAGAGCAGAACTATGCAGATATTTCAAAAAGAGGTAGCAATGATGAGTATAAATTAAGATAGTAGGAAGAGGAAGGATAGGTTCTGTGAACTTTAATACAGTTTCAAAAATACCTGCTCATATTTGTTAACCAGAACAGAACTCAAATATTCTTGACTGAAAGCATAAAATGAAGGCTTTTAGAAATACACAAATTAGGTTCAGCATCTTCTGTACCAGTTTATTCTAATGAGCTGGATGGAGTTGTTTCTTTCTTGAGCATGTGGAAAGCTTTATTAATTCATACATCCTTCTGGGATTGCAGAGCTATTCTGAAAAAGGGTCTGGATCTGTGGCAAAGGGTGTTAAAGACAGAAGAAAGCTTTAGCACTGATCAATAGTACTTGGAAGCACATGGATTTGTAAGTGCTGAAGGCAACTACTTATTTTCCCCACCATCTAGGATGCTGGGCTCATATAAAGAACATATAATCATTATTATAGTGTCAGGAATGATGCACAGTAGGGCTGGACACAAAGCACAGTTAAAAGACATATTTATATCAAAAGAAAAATTCCCTTGTTTTAAAGGGCTTTGGATCAAGTCCAAGTCTCTTTGTCACTGGACTTGCACCACAAAGTTGTGCAATAATTAATTAGTAGACATCATAAAAAGGTATGCTGTGTGAAGAACTAAAGAAAATTGCTATTAGCTGAATGTGATCTTCATAAACTACTCAATGTTCTGCTCAAGGCAAATACAGTTATGAACAATTCTTGGCTTGGGATACAGTGAATTTCAGCAACAAGCCTGATGCTCATTTTCAATTAATGTTTATAAAGGTAGATTTCTAGTGGTGTTTTTGAAAGAGAGATTGGAAAAAGACTGAAAGAAATCAACTTTAGTCTTACAGCTGTGACCAAAATGTGACTATTTAATCTGGTTTTACATTTTGGTCAACTAGTAAACAATTTTTCCTCAGAATGTAGACTGTTTATACCACTTGAAAAATCAATGGAAATACATTGAGTTCTTGTTAGGCTATCTGAACACAAATTTCTTTGTAATAGACTTTTTTCTCTTCTTCCCAGCCACATCCTTTCAGATCAAACACATGCTTTAAAATTTTCTTTTTTAGCTTGGAGGAATAAACCATTACATATGCTAAAAATGTAGTGGGGGGAAAATACCTAAAAATTCAAAGAAAAGCTCTTCTTAGCTCTTTTCAAAGTTTATTATTCTGTGTGCTATGCAGAAGAGATGGGGGGAAAAAAAACAGGCATAGCACTGAGTCAACACCTGTGTGCATAGAATATCCTCAGGTGGAGATGGAAATCTTGAATTAACTGAAAGAAACCCAGTTTGAATCATGCTGTCAGGACTACCCAGTCAGCATGCTGCTTCCAAGGGCTGGGAACCAGGGCTGTCCTACCACCTCAGCCAGGGAGCAGGGCAGCTGAGGGCAGCCCAAGCCCCAGGCATCAAGCACCTTCCTGGGATCAGGGTGAGGCAGGGCTAGGACATCAGCCCATGGGTGGGAGTCAGGCTCTGGATCAATGGGGCCGTGGTTGGGCAGTGCAGGCTGTCCCAGAGGAAGGACACTGAGCCCCACCAGCAATGCTGTCAGGAGTAGCTCTCCCCAGGACCACCAGCAGCATTAGCTCAGTGTGCTCCCTGAGCCCAGGAAGACAAAACCCCAGGATGGGGAAGAGAGATGTGCTCAGGGCTCTGACATATTAACATGAAGTAATACATTCTCCATTCTAACTTAATTCTAACTTAATTTTTTTCATGGCAAGAATGACAAAACATTTTATCTTAGCATTTAGAAAGTGGACACAGTGACAAATTTAGACAATGTTCATTGGTCTCTGCCATTGTGGTGAGCCTCTGATTTTTAAGTCAAGTTGCATACTAAAATAGCACATTCTCAGCACTGAGGTCAGTTGTACTGAAAAAAGCTTTTTGGCCTTAGAGGTGAAGCCTCCTCTTTCTGCTGGCCTCTAGTCTTAGCTTTGAAATACAGACCCTTCATAGAGTTTAAAGGAGGAAAAAAAGCCCAGATAGCTGAACTAGCCTCACCAAAAATGGACTTCCTGAAAGATGTCTGTTGCAGACGTCAGTGGTTAAAAGAGCAAGGCTAGATGTTCAGGTAGGGAGTACAGCACAGGGTGCTGGGTAGGGCACTCATTGTAGCTCTGGATTTTCTGGGAGCTGTTCAGCAGGTCACTTGGCCTTCTTTCCATTCATATTTTTCATGTTGCTAGTACTGTTTTTTTAACACGCTAATCCTCATACTGTTGTTTGAAAATATGTGTTAACTTTGCTGTCATTGCCTGTTACAGACAATTCATTGAATTATTTTTATGATAGCTTTTCCCTTGATCAGTCACATTATCTGATTAGAAATTAACTAAAATAGATGTATTTTGCTTGTATCTGTGCAATAAGCCTGAATTCATGAATATTATTGTATGGGTAATGATCCTCAGTAATACTGTAGCTGAGTAGGCTGAAATGCCGAAAGACATCATAGTCCATATAAGAATGTGGGATAATATGCTCATTAGCAGGCAATGATTAAAGAACATTACTTGCTTGAAATGAAGATAGCTTCCTGGCTAGGAATGAAGCTGGACAACACATCTTTTTAGATAGAAAATTTGAGGTTAATTCTGTTATAAAAACTAGCTAAAAAACCCTTTGGCTAATAAGAAAAAGCAACAACAACAACAAAAAAAAACAACAAACAAACCAAAAAAAAACCCCAAAACCCCAAAGCAACCAAAACCAAAAAACAAACCAAACAATTAAGACTTCTTAATGTTTTACCTTTATGTGATATTTTTTCCCTGTTTGTAAAGTAAAGCCACTAGGGTATCTGTGGTAACTAAAGAAGTTTTAGAGAGGACCCTATACCAAGTTTTGGGTTGGGTACACAGATGCTGCAAGGATTTCCTTTAGCATTATATGACAATCTTTTTGTCTACATCAAGAGCCATGAAGATTTTAAGACGTGAGTAAGTTTAGTATAGCTCACCTTTGAATATATAAAGCAAATAAATGAACATGTCATGTAGGCAGACAGATTATTATTTTTAAAGAAATGTAGGCAACGTAGTCATAAAGTTTCACAGAAAGCTGTCACCAGAAGTACTGGTACATCTCTGACTTGGGTTGAATCAGAAGTAAACTATTTGAAAACTGTCTGAAACTGATGTCCTGAAAAAACTGCAGGGGAACAGGAAACAAATGACGGCAAGTGTGTTCATGGCACTCACTGATGACACAAATTTCTTTGAATGACACACTTAAGCTTCACATCCCTTGAATCTCAGGAGGCTTTTGTGGAGTCCTGTCATTCAAGGTGCCTTTGCAATGGAACAAATTGGCGGTCACTACTGAAGGCTGTAAACTTACCATCAAAAACTATTTTTCAACTGAATTTTACATTTAAATGCTTGATGAGCATTTGACAGTGCCTGCTGGGTTAATAAATACAGCATGCTGTGTAATAGATAGCTGTAATTGTCTTAAGGGAGAAATAAGAGGTTACCTCTGCCTTCACATTACCAGTTATAACTTGTGTATTTAAGTAACTCTGGCATGTTTTGCATTAATTAGAAAGCATGTGAGATGAAAATGGAGTTATCGCATTGTTCCCAATGCATATGAATGTGGAACTCTGGCTTTTAACTCTGGTATTTTGCATCATCCTGTAAAACTCGTATCACTACTCTTTTTGCAATAGGACCCTGAAGTGAGCAAGAAAATGTGTTAGTATTTTTCTAAGGCCATATATTTCATAATTTATTTTTTATTTCAGTTTCCCATCAGTGAAATTGAAAGAACATTAGTTACAAAACAAATAAAGCTTAGTCAGAGGTTCTATTAAATGACAAATTCAGCAGCTCTGTTAATTTGGACTCTGAGTTTTCATAATATGCCTTAGATTATATGTTCAGATGAAGAGGTATAATTGCATTTTCACTGAATTAGAGCAGCATAATGTCTATCAGACAAGATAAACTATGTTGCCAAGAAAAAGAAATTTATAACGGGAAAAACTGGGCAGGAGTTTTATGCTGGGGCCCTGCATTTTCACTGTCTGCACTTCAGGATGTAGATAGCTTTAAACACCTCCTTGTACTACAGAATCCTTTGGGAATGCTGGCAGGAATCAATGTCTTAGTCAATACTGAAATTAAACTGATGGTTACTGCCACCTGTCATAAAAGCTGCAGATTTACCACTGCCATCAAAGCCACATTGGAAAGAGATTATTCTATTTTTTTTTTTTATATAAAATATCTAGGCGTTTATGGTCCTGGTAAGCCATTAAATTAATTGTTAATGTCTGAAGATATTAGACTTGATTCATCCTTCTATATAAATTCTTTTTTCACCATTCTGGTTGCTGTGGAGGGAGCTAAAATTAAGTTCAAGTTGGAATTGCATCTTTTAATATCGCTTTATATGTCCAGGACAGAATGAGTCCTAGCATAAATGAGATGCAGCTTTTCTACCTTCATGGGGAATACAACAAAGCCCATGGAATCAGTGGGCAGAGTCTAACCATCTTCAGCAATAGCTATACCAGCACCTGTGTCCACTGAGAGAGTAGAAGGGGAAACAAATACATTTTTTCACTTTATGTTTTTTTTTAAATATGGGGTTAGATGCTTTGAACTAAGACCTGGCTTCCTTTGGAGTAAAGGCTGGGTTTTGTGAATTTATAAAGTTTTTCCATGTCAGAGTGTCTTAACTTTTTCTTAACTCCCTATTCCTGGCACCTGACACCAATATTATGCAACCAGAGACAGGGGGACACTGGGTCCCTTTGCAGGTTGAGTCACAGTCAAAGATCAAATTTAAAACTAAACCTCACAGTTTTGATCATTAGAAAATCCCAGCTGGATTTATCTTGCAAGAATAGATGTAGTAACCTGGCTGAGTGTAGTTCAAACACAATTACGTTTGGTGTACCAAAAATCACCTCTGTGTATTTGACAGCCTTTGTCACTTCCTGAGGCTGAAAATGACAGTTTGGGATGACTTTGACTGCTGAGAGGGAAGAAATTCTCAGTACAGTATGTGTTGTGTTGAAAGTGATAGCAGCATATAGAGAGGTAATCATTACATTTATAATTGACTAGATGTGAATTAATTTTACTGTCAATTAGTGTGGCTGGCAAAGTATTCTTAGAAGAGGTTGAAAACTCCCTTGTGCTTATAGTAAGGAGCAGAAAAGCTTATATATATTTTATAACTGCTGGAGTCTGTCTGCTTTAGCTTTGTTCCGTATCAATCAGGTAGACACCTCTACTCTCCGGTGATCACAAGTAGTAACAATGAAGACCATAACATGTTCTGGAGTACAGACAAGAATGAACCTGAGCAGACAAAAAACTCACCAGGTGATCTTCAAGGTTTACTTTTAGTCATAGGACCCTGAGCTTACAGAAGATATGAAGGGTAATTTTTATCCAAGATGAAAGTAAGCATCTAAAAACAGTTTCTAGTAAAACACGCTGCTGTCTGAAGTGCCTGAAAACTGCTTCCACACAAGGAGGGGTGTTCCACGTTTGTAGGATTCCCATGTACAAGGACTAGACACCAAACACAATATAAATAATTAAATGTTGTAGTCTATTTATTGACGTATTAATGCAATGCAAACATATATATATATTAATGCGAAGCAGGTTACGTACATACTGACCCCTGGTTGTATGGGATGCCGCTTAGCAGGAGGAGATGGAACATGTTGCCCGCTCAGAGGAGTGGTAGGCCATATGTTATCAAAGTGTCCCCCGAATCAAGATGCGAATCTGGCCTTCTCACCTGTCTTTCCCTGCACAGGTCCTTACATCTCCCCTCTGGTTGGAGTGGAAAATTACCAACATCACCTGTGCAACATCAGCGCACAGGTGACCAGTGTGTGAACAGATGTTTACTAGTATAAGACTCCCTTTTGCTAACAGAGGTGTTAACTCCCCTGTTTTCAGGGTTATGTTCCCACAACCAATGCCAAACAGTACTTTTCTATATTTATGTGTTTCACCATGGACCATTATCTGCTGTCACTGACACAAGGTGGGGAGAAGAGAATGTCATCTATTGTATAATTAAAAAACCACTTGTGAAACAAAGATGATATTCCCCTGAAGATCTATCATCTCCTGCCTTAAATGACTTGTAGAAAATAAATTCCAGTGGGACACAATAAATCTAATTAGGATAAAATATAATTTGTGCTTTTTCCTGGAACAGCAATTTTGATGTAGTATGTGTGATAACTGCAAACCTGGGCAAAGACTCTGAAAGCAACAAACAACTGTCCCCATGAATCTACCAGCCTTTTGTTCTTTAACCTAGGGCTTTCCAGGCTAGCTTTTTCAGGCTAGCACAGTGGCTATGAATGCCTGCATCTGTTATGTGTGATTACCTTTAGGGATCAGTAATTAGCAACACTGACAATCAACTGGGAATTTTTATGTGTCACTCTAAAGGTGTCCTGGGAACATGTACACAGCATTAAAAGATGAAAGCCAAGCAATGGGGAGGGAAACTGCAGTGTTGTTTGTAGTATGTTCCTTATTTGCTGTTGTTGACCTTGCACCAGCCTCTCTGTTGGTAACCCCAAGAGACATACTCAGATGTGATCCGGAAACATTCTGCGAGGAACACAATCTGAAGCCACTCTAGGCCTTTAAAATCTGATTTCTAGACTGATTGAATATGCTATTACCTTTGATCACTAGCATTCTGGCCTGCCGGTAAGAGACCCTGGCTGGAGTTTCCTAATCCATCCATCATTACTTTCTTGAGAGTTTATTCCAGTGTGATGCATTGGTAGGATTTCTCTGGACAGTAACGCAAGGTGTTTTGTTGCATTGTGTTGTATTTTCTTGCCCCCACATTCAGTCTCTATCTTCCTCATTTTGGATACACTGAATTCTCCCAGATCTTCAGAGGGGAGAAGATTGAAAAGGGAGATTGAAAAGACAACCTGCTCAAAGCTACCCAGGGAACTCTTATATGACAACAGATATATCTGTACCATGCACAGTCTCTGGGTACAGTAAGTCACCTTGCTGATTACCTGAAGGTATGTCAATACATCAGTTTTGCATCAGTAGATCTGTTTTTACAGTGGTGACTGCTATTCATCTTCATTTCCTTCCTGCCCCTCACATTCTTTCCCAAGTATGCAGAACATCCCCCAATGCAGCTGTAAATGGGGCAAAGCAAATTTTTTTTTTGTGGGGTTTGTTGGTTTTTTTTTTTGATAATTTTTTTTATATTCTGGAAGAAGATGGAGAATAACATTTATGTGAAAACAATTGCTTCCATTCAGCACCTGCTTTTCCCATAAGAGTTTCTTTTTGCTGAGAGATTGATTGAATGTTCTATTTTTCATAGGTCATGCCAGCTTGATGGTGACTTTGAGCAGGTTCAGGGTGGCAGAAAGCATCTTGATCTCTACATAGAGCCATCACTATACAATCCCAAGACCTTGAAGGCAAAGAATGACTGCCTCCTTATTATGGTATCTTAGAGGCATCAGTGATCATGGAGGAGAAGTTATGAACATTGAGAGATAAAATGGGTTGCAAAGGTTACAAGGTTGCAAAGGACATGAAAAAAAAAAACCAAACAACCAAGCTTTAAATATTTTATTCTCCTAATAACAGTCTCTCTCTCCCATCCTGATGAATGGGAATTTTTTTCTGCATTTTCACTTAGTTCTGATTGTTTGGTGTGGACCTGATACTGTGGTGCAGCTGTAAGAAATGATGCAAATTCCACTGATTTAGTGAAGATAAGGAAGGGGATGTCTACCTGCTTTAAGTCTAATCCCCAGCCCTCTCAAGCATGTGCGTTCTTGGTAGTGTCTGAGGATGTACCTGCTCAGGCCAGGAACACAGGAGTTATTTTCAAGACAAGAGGAAGTTAATGCATAAGACAAAGTACAACATTAAATATCAGAAGTGCTTTAGTAGGTTGTGGGTAATAGCAATGTAAGGTATTGATTCAGCATGCCAGAAATACTCTCTCTAAAAAGCTTTAACAATGCTAAATGCAAGAGAAATTTCCCCCTATCAGTAAAATGATGGCTTGTACATGACACCAACCAAACACTGCTGAAACTGCAGAAGAACAGAGCTTTGAATGACTGCCCCTACATGTGTTTTCCTTGGAGGCTTCCTACCCAGAGAGCAACTTCAGCTCTGTTTAGATTTGAGAAAGATGCAGCTATTGTGTGAAGCAATAGCACTCCAGTATGGAGTATAGATAATCTGTTTTCTACAGCCACATGTTTTAAATACCTTTCATGAGAATCGTCATTCCTTTTCACTGGATTTTATCATCAGTCTTTAACAAAACAAGTATGTGCTTCTAATGCTTCCCTGAGGATGCTTTAAAGGAGGAACTTAAACATAGAAAAGATCCAGGCCAATGTTCAGTCATTGCATGTGCATTAGGGTTTTTTGACTATTCGACGTAGTCAGAGGACATATGTGGGAGCCTTTTACTATGGCTCTGTGTATTGTGTGTAAACGTTAATTTTATTTTTAACAGATGTATACGAATTTTATCTCTGAAAAAATGTTATGCCCTGCTACGGGCACCCGCAAGTCAGATTAATGTGTTGAAGTGAAAGAAGAGAGAAGAGAGAGTGAAAGCACTTTACTCACCATGCTGTCCATGTCTTTCACTGGAGAGAGATTTAGGAGATATGGATATGGGCATGTGAGTTAGTATGATACCTGTACCAGGTAATCGAGGTTTCAGCCAGTATCTGTAAAGCTGCAAAAATCTGGTGCCCAGATCACAGAATAGTTAGGGTTGGAAAGGACCTTAAGATCATCTACTTCCAACCCCCCTGCCATGGGCAGGGACACCTCACACTAAACCATGTCACCCAAGGCTCTGTCCAACCTGGCCTTGAACACTGCCAGGGATGGAGCATTCACAGCTTCCCTGGGCAAAAGTGCCTCACCACCCTAACAGTAAAGAATTTCTTCCTTATATCCAATTTAAATTTTCCCTGTTTAAATTTTAACCCATTACCCCTTGTCCTATCACTACAGTCCCTAATGAAGAGTCCTTCCCCACCATCCTTATAGGCCCCTTTCAGATACTGGAAGGCTGCTATGAGGTCTCCACACAGCCTTTTCTTCTCCAGGCTGAACAGCGCCAACTTTCTCAGCACCTCATAGGGGAGGTGCTCCAGTCCCCTCACGATCATCCTCGTGGCCCTCCTCTGCACTTGTTCCAAAAGTTCCACATCCTTTTTATGTTGAGGACACCAGAACTGTACACAATATTCCAGGTGAGGTCTCACAAGAGCAAAGTAGAGGGCCAGAATCACCTCCTTCGACCTGCTGGTCATGCTCCTTTTGATGTAGCCCAGGATACGGTTGGCTTTCTGGGCTGCAAGCGCACACTGAAGCCAGCTCATGTTCATTTTCTCATCAACCAACACCCCCAAGTCCTTCTCCACAGGGCTGCTCTGAATCTCTTCTCTGCCCAACCTGTAGCTGTGCCTGGGATTGCTCCGACCCAGGTGTAGGACCTTGCACTTGGCATGGTTAAACTTCATGAGGTTGGCATCCGCCCACCTCACAAGCATGTCAAGGTCCCTCTGGATGGCATTCCTTCCCTCCAGGGTATCAACCGAACCACACAGCTTGGTGTCATCGGCAAACTTGCTGAGGGCTCACTCAATCCCACTGTCCATGTCACCAACAAAGATGTTGAACAAGACTGGTTCTAACACCGATGCCTGAAGGACACCACTCATTACTGGTCTCCAGCTGGACATTGAGCCATTGACCACAACTCTTTGCATGCGGCCATCCAGCCAGTTCTTTATCCACCGAGTGGTCCAACTCTCAAATTGATGTCTCCCCAATTTAGAGACAAGGATGTCATGCGGGACAGGATCGAACGCTTTGCACAAGTCCAGGTAGATGACGTCAACTGCTCTACCCCTGTCCATCAGTTCTGTAGCCCCATCATAGAAGGCCACCAAATTGGCCAGGCAGGATTTTCCCTCAGTGAAGCCATGCTCGCTGTCACCAATCACCTTGTTGTTTTTCATGTGCCTTAATATGCCTTCCAGGAGAATCTGCTCCAAGATTTTGCCAGGCACAGAGGTGAGACTGACTGGTCTGTAGTTCCCCGGGTCATTCCATTTTCCCCTTCTTGAAAATGGGGGTTATATTTCCCTTTTTCCAGTCATCGGGAACTTCACCTGACTGCCATGATTTTTCAAATATGATGGCCAGTGGCTTAGCAACTTCATTTGCCAGCTCCTTCAGGACCTGCAGATGGATTTCATCAGGTCCCATGGACTTGTGCACGTTCAGGTCGTTAAGATGGTCTTGAACCAGATCCTCTCCTACAGTGGGCCTAAGGTCTTCATTCTCACAGTCCTTGCATCTGCCTTCCAAGACTTGGGTGGTGCCGTCAGAGCATTTGCCAATGAAGACCGAGGCAAAGAAGTCATTAAGAACCTCAGCCTTTTCCAAATCCAGTTCTCCTGTTAGCTTCCGGAGGGGGCCCACCTTGTCCCTAGTCTGTCTTTTATTTGCTATGTACCTATAGAATCCCTTCCTGTTATCTTTCACATCCCTAGCCAAGTTTAATTCTAACTGGGCCCTAGCTTCCCTTACAACATCCCTGTATTCTTCCCAGGCTGCTTGTCCTTGCTTCCAACTTTTAGAAACCTCTTTTTTTCCGTCAGTTTCCTCAGCAGCTCCTTATCCGTTCAAGGAGGTCTCCTGGCTCTCCTGCTGCACTTCCTTTTGGTCGGGGCACAAAACTCCTGAGCTTGTAGCAGGTGATCGTTATCAAGGCAGGGAGCAGCCACCTCAGAACTGTGCTGGGTCAGTGTCCTGTGCCATCTGTAACCTGAAAGCAGCCACCTCTGCTTCCTAAAGGAAAAGGCGTCCTTTCCCCTCACTGTCACCTTCAGTTTATCATTCCTTCTCATTCTGTTTCTTACCTTGGGCTGTGTTCAGCTACGCTCACAACATCTCATTTGTTTTTCTTACATTATGACTACATCCTGCCCTCTGTGTTTCTCTCCGTGCCACTCTCCTTTCTTTGCACAGATTTATTCCTGACACATCTGCCTGCATCTGAGCCTAGAAAAGGTTCTTCAATTGATCACGAACTATTAGACTCCACATACGACACTATTTGTGATGTACCAGAGGCTTGGGCAACCAATCTGATATAGTAATCTTTAAAATGAATAAGAATGAATGATTATGCAAATATTTTGTGGCATTAGATAGCATTGCTTTAGTGAGAGATAGAAAATTTCATGCTGATTGATTTTCATTGATTGCATGAGTATCACTTTTCCAAACTCATAGAGGCTGAGGTAGAAAATGATGAATATTTAAGAAGAAAAAAAAAAAAAGACTCTCACCCACTCTCTCCCTTTTTAGAACAAGCACCTTAGGAAAAAAAGTGATTAGTTCTCAGTTTACCTTTTCCTTAGCATAACAGTCTTCCATTTGAGGCTTAATGTGATCTGTTCTAGGATGCAAAAAAATAATGGAAAATAAAAGGAGCATAGCAAGAAAACATATTCAAAGCGAATAATTTAAGATCACATCCATTTGTGCATTTGTATCACATTTGTGCATTGGATCACATCCAATGGCATTTGTAAAGTTTCCTCTAGTGCTCTAATCATACCTCAAAAAGTGCTTATTAGAGCAGTTTAGTACAAAACAGAGTATGCAGGTGTTGAATGGCTTCTGTTATATTTTTAAGAAATGTAGTGGTAACTGGTTCTCCTGGCATTATTGCTCATATTTAATAACTGTTTCCCAATTTAACATATATTTGACAGCTGAAGAGTGTGCATATAATTATTACCTTGTTAAAATAAGTTTGAACAAGAATGAAGAACAAAATAAGATACTTTTAGGACAGAAACCTAAGCTTGTAGTAAACAGTAGGGCATTCTATAGTGTCCATTGGGGATATAACTAGTAAAAAGTTGACGCTGAAAAAGAGAAGAATTGGTGTTCCTTGCCTTGAAATGTCAAAGCTTCTGCATTCATGTATTCAAAATTAATGTTGTCTAAAAGCAGTTCTGATACTTCAGCAAAACTGGTCATTTGCTTACTACTTGGACTGTATTTAAGTGTTGATATCTTTTGGCTGGGCAAGATTTTGCTGGTCAATTCCTTATTTATCTTGGAAATCAATGGCAATGATGTCACAGTTCCCTCCCTTTAACCCAAAAACCTCTCCAAAACTAGATGCTTTATTGGAAAGCCTACAGTCTGAAATATTAATCTTACAAAATATAACACATAGGCTTAAACCTAAGGTACATCCAAATTTTGAAGAGTCCCAGCTGTATCTAGCTCCCTTTTTCCCAAGCAGTCAGCAGACTTAATGCCATCTAGGAATTAACTCTTTCTAGACTGTTCTCCTCATTCCTACACATTAACATTCGAGTCTACTGTCTTGTGCAGCTAGATGAATTATTTCCTGAGAACATTTCTTTTGTTAGTGAAATTTGCCCTTTTTGCATGCGTTATTTTTCCATGAACACATCGTAATTTGCATTAATTAGTTTATTATTTGAAATTATTTGATGAATAGTTTGTTCCAATCCTTTTCTCTCATGTAGCTAATATTGAGTGTTTCATCCCAGTGATTTAACATTCAAACTGTGTCCTACTATATCACATGGTGATTGTTTCTGCTCCTGCTCTGGATAACACAACTCAATCAAAAAGAGAGAAATGTGGTTCATGGAAAGTTTTCAGAGAAAAGTTCTCTTCTTTTATTATTTTCCACATTTTTTTTTTTTTTTTCTGAGAAAACACTCTGCACTTTCGTTTTTGTGCAGTGTTTCTTCCTTTTTCTCAGTTTCAAAACTGCAAAAGCATGGGGAAAAAAAGGGATTTTTAGAAGTCTCTTGTTTGTACTCACTATTCAAGGAGATGGAGTAAAGTAAACTGGGAATTTTTTTATTCAATAGTTAAACATTTTCAGCTGGGGACAGTTTTTCATCAAAACATATTCTTTACTATAAAAATATTTCTGACAGTCCAAGTTACACTTTCTGTAAACAGCTTCTGTATCCCCATGAATTATGCTTCACCAAAACCCCTAATATTTTGCCATATTAAGTAAAATTCTTATGGAATTAAAATGTTCTTACACTATATCCATTTGTCTGAAGAAAGAAAATAGCATCAGGCTTACTGGAAATATATGCACAAGAAAGAGTAATATTTTGGAATTCAGAAGCATGATCATAAACCCTTTCTGCTTTGTTTGGAGTTCTGGTCTCTTGTTCTAAACTTATAGTAAATTTTGACATATAGTCACCTTATTTCTGCTAAAATATTGATATTATATCTCTGTATATATCCAGGCTGAAAAAATCATCTTGGGTGACACAAAAAGCTGTAGTGTTCTGTATATACTCATAAATATATACTACTCCAAAAGAGCAGAATGCTACAATCATATATTAGAATAATAATGAAATCCTTTTTATTCGAATGTTAATCATAAGGGATGTTGAGAACTAGCAGTTGAGCACTTTTCTAGAAAAAAAGAAAAAGGGGGGGATGAATGGGTAACGAACTCCCTTAGACATTGATAATAAAAAGAAAAAAGAAAAAAAAGTGCAAATATTCCAGTATATAAT